TTAATGTAAAGGTGGTCGTTACATCCACAATAGAACAGTTGGTTCAGTGATTGTCTTACAAATGATAGGTCTGTGGTTCCATCCCTACTGTTGATATTGTTTTACACTCTTTCTTTTCTTTTGCTGGTTATTTTAATGGAAATGGCAGAGTGCTAGCATAATTGTGTACACGGATATGAAGCAACTTAAAAACTATGTTTTATCTAGTTTTGTATTGCGTTTCACGGCGTTGATATGGCATTATGAATTTTAATATAAGTTCTTATGCAATGTTATTTAAAGATTGGACTTTACCATAATAAGTGCAAAACATTATACTAAAACGAACATAAAAAAAAGCTTAGCCTCAGTAATGTTGAAAATACAAATGAAACAACATGGGATAAACGCCATGAACGCGGTCTCGATCTTTCAACACATAGGGAACTTAGAAAATGTAAACGCGTAGTTTACCCTATTGCGACTACTGCACGCTCAGTACAACTACTTTATTGATACAAATTCTTACTGCGTACATCTCACGGAACTTACTGAAAATTTGTCGAAGATAATTGTATTGTTAGCATTGACCTATAATCAGTATGCAATTGACAGGTTAATAAAATCAATTAAAACCCGTGAAATAACAGTCAAAACAAAGAGTTTTTTTGAAATTTGGATAAAACCACACCTTTTTGTTATAAAATAAACATACTAGTTTAAAGCATTGTTATCCCCCGCCGATGGAATCGGGAGGGGGAATAGTTTTGGCGTTGTCTGTCCATCCGTCCGTCCGAATTTCGTTTCCGGAGTAGTTTTCTGCAACTACTGGCTGGAAATCAAAGAAATTTTATGGGAATCATCAATATCAAGAGGAGATGCGCATATCTTAGGCTTGTTCTGGTCCGACCCTTTAACTCATAGTTATGGCCATTGATTAGTTATGTAATATGCATATGGAGTAAAAATCGTTTCCAGAGTAGTTCTCTACAACTACTGGCTGGAATTCATCAAAACTTTATGGGACTCATCAATATCAAGAGGAGATTCGCATATCGTCGGCTTGTTCCGGTCAAACACTTTAACTCAGAGTTATGGCCATTGATTAGTTATGCAGTATGCATATGGAGTAAAAATCGTTCCGCGCTACTTCTCTGCAACTACTGGCTGGAATTCAACGAAACTTTATGGGTACTTTCAATTCAAAGAGGAAATTCGCATATCGTCGGCTTGTTCGGGTCAGACACTATAATTCACAGTTATGGCCCTTAATTACTTATGCAATATGCATATGGAGTAAAAATCGTTCCAGATTAGTTCTCTGCAACTACTGGCTGGAATTCAACGAAATTTTATGGGAATCATCAATATCAAGAGGAGATGCGCATATTGTCGGCTTGTTCCGGTCAGACACTTTAACTCAGAGTTATGGCCCTTGATTAGTTATGTAGTATGCATATAGAGTAAAAATCGTTTCCGCACTACTTCTCTGCAACTACTGGCTGGAATTCAACGAAACTTTATGGGAACTTTCAATACCAAGAGGAGATGCGTATATCGCTGGCTTGTTCCGGTCAGACACTTTAACTCAGAGTTATGGCCCTTGATTAGTTATGCAGTATGCATATGGAGTAAAAATCGTTTCCGCGCTACTTCTCTGCATCTACTGGCTGGATTTCAACGAACCTTTATGGGTACTTTCAATTCCAAAAGGAGATGCGCATATCGTCGGCTTGTTCGGGTCAGACACTTTAACTCACAGTTATGGCCCTTAATAAGTTATGCAATATGCATATGGAGTAAAAATCGTTTCCAGAGTAGTTCTCTACAACTACTGGCTGGAATTCAACGAAACTTTATGGGAATCATCAATACCAAGAGGAGATGCGCATATCGTCGGCTTGTTCCGGTCAGACACTTTAATTCCAGAGTTATGGCCCTTGATTAGTTATGCAGTATCCATATAGAAAAATATTTGTTTTCATGCTACTTCTCTGCATCTACTGGCTGGAATTCAATGAAACTTTATGGGATACTAAGAGGAGATGTGCATATAGTCGCCTTATTCCAGTCAGATACTTATAACTCAGATTTATGGCCCTTGATTAGTTATGTAGTATGCATACATCTCATTGGCATTTCCAGATTTTACTATTTAACACAAAGTTATGGCTCTGTTATTGCCCTGAATATTTATCAAGTTCAAAGAATATTACTGTTTATGCCATGATTAATATATAAATAAAGCCTTATGTCTTCAGTTGTTGTGTTAATAATAACCAGTACTCGGCGGGGATATAAATTCATCGAATTTGCTTGGTTTTTTTGTTGTTTTTTTTAAAAAAAAAGTTCATTTGTTGGTTACATTGGATAGAGTTAAATACATGAAATAGAGTTAAAAGATGTTCAAAAATCAAATTTTTATAATGATTTCATTAGATAGTGTAGGATAGATTTGTTTTCTGTGATCTGTTTTTATCTTCTTGTTCTTATTAATTTTTTGTTGTGCTTTTTAAAATTAAAGAAAGTAAAAAGAAAAAAACGCTTTCATTTGTTTTATTTGTAATAAAAACATTATTATAATATGGATGAAGTAATGAAACAGTATGAAAGGTTTGTGGCTATATAATAATAGTATCCAGCCATTTTGAGCATTCGTGTTCAAAATCACATCATACACCGTCAATAACAACAACAACAATAGCAACGAACGCAAAAAGAAGAAAAGCTTAGCAATTTCACCAACTTTGCTAGACAACTAAATAAAGCCGTGTGTTATATTTTATAGATACATAAATTGTTCTTTTAGTGAATATTATCACGTTTTTATGCCATTTAATGGCCGGGACATATAGTGTTACCCTGTTCCGTCCTTCCGTCCTTCTGTCATTCCGTCATCATCAGTTTCCGTTCATTATTTTAGTAACGGTTGCACACATTCAACTCAAATTTGACATATGGATATGTCATGAGAAAATACAGGTCAAATTCGAATTTGGTCATGGTTCGATGATTTTTGGCAGAGTAATGCCCCTTTTACTTTTAAATAATATGAAATTAAAATTTTCAGTTTCCGTTCATTATCTCCCCAATGGTACAACACATTCAACTCAAACTTGACATATGGATATGTCATGAGAAAATATAGGTCAAGTTTGAATTTGGTCATGGTTCGATGATTTTTGGCAGAGTTATGCCCCTTTTACTTTGAAAATAATATGAAATGTTTAGTTTCCGTTCATTATCTCCCAAACGGTACAACACATTCAACTCAAATTTAACATATAGATATGTCGTGAGAAAATATAGGTCAAGTTCGAATTTGGTCATGGTTCAATGATTTTTGGCAGAGTTATGCCCCTTTCACTTTGAAAATAATATGAAATTTTCAGTTTCCGATCATTATCTCCCCAATGGTACAACACATTCAACTCAATTTTGACATATAGATACGTCACAGGAATGCGCAGGTCAAGTTCAAAGTTGGTCATAGTTCAATGATTTTTGGCAGAGTTATGCCCCTTTCACTTTGAAAATAATATGAAATTTTCAGTTTCTGTTTATTGTCTCCCCAACGGTACAACACATTCAACTCAAATTTGACATATTGATGTTTTTGGAATGCCCAGGCCAAGTTGGAATTTAGTCATGGTTCAATGATTTTTGGCAGAGCAATGCCCCTTTCACTTTGAAATAATATGAAATTTAAAGTTTCTGTTCATTATCTACCCAACAACTCAAATTTGACATATATATATATATATATATATATATATATATATATATATATATATATATAATATATATATATATATATATATATATATATATATATATATATATATATATATGTCAAAGGAATGGGCAGGTCAAGTTTGAATTTGGTCATGGGTCGATGATTTTTTGGCAGAGTTATGTCCCTTTCACTTTGAAAATAATATAGATACATCTTAGGAATAAGCAGTTTAAGTTTGAATTTGGTCGTGGTTCAATGATTTTGACAAACTTATCTTCCTTGAATGTTGGAAAAATTTTGAACTTTCGGCACTGAAATGTATGTAGCCATTATTTTGGCTACAAATATGAAATATGCTATTTTCAAAAGGTTTAGACTGAATAATTTCAGTGCCTTGAACATTGTATGAAATTGGTTTGTGTTAACATTGAAAAGTTTTAAGGGCTTTGAACTTAAAATGAAAAAAATAATTTGTGCTAACAAATTTGGAACTAAATATTATAACATCTGAAATTTTGGCTGCATGCGGGGGCATCCGTGGCATGATGACACATTTTTAGTTTGTGTAATTAAAACCATTCTTTTTGCCACTAGATAGTGATAAATTTCAAAACAAAATTGTCAGCGCAACAAAGTAAATCTTACACATTGTTCATATAGTAAACTGCATTCTTAAAGTTTTTGCTTTAAATACAGTCAGACATTACTACAAATGTTCTACATAACTCTAATTTAATTACTTTAAGTAATTGATACGGCATGAACATCTCTCTGTAGTGCGTTCATGTCAATGTAAAGATTAAAAAACCAACTTCAACATTTCATTCTTTTTAAACTGTGTGCCATGACGACAACATCATCAAATACATAAATATATGCAAGTACATCATCGAAAAAACATAAGACAAGCATTCTTAATTCTTGCTATGCCTGTTATAAATGGAAATACATAAAAGACTTGATACAAATAGTATAGTATTATGAATTATATTTATGCTGTTTAACGAATACAGATGATTTATAAAGAGTTAAGTGAAGTACGAAGTTGAAAAGTCTCTTAACATCTCCGATCTCGCATTGGCCTGGAAATGTGTAAGAATCGTTTCTCATGGCCATCCTCTAAGCAGAACACAATCTGTATCTTTATGTTTGACCAGGTCAAGCCATAGTTTACTTTCTTATTTGCGTTTCCCCAACATAAACAACTTTTAGAAAAAAGCCATTGCATAAACTTACAATAATTTTAATAACGAATGTTAAAATTACATGTATCGATATAATATTTTCACGAAATAACAAACTGAAATATAACGCCAGATTTTCCAAAAGCGTAATCGGTGATTGTGTCTTTGGACAGAAATTTCAATTTTCCGTTTCTCTTAAGGTTATGCATGAACGGTTCCAGTGTCCCTTTATATTCGGATACATAGTCCAGGTACTCCTCCCTCATTGCTATACAGATGACTCCGCCTGAAATTTATAAATAAATGACGTCATTAAGACACGCCTTGTCTTATTCGAAACATGTAAATTGTCTACAAATAACTTTCACTTTGGTCAATACAAAAAAAAATATGTCAAAAAATCCCGATAATTAAAGTACAATCGATATTTTATATCGTATTTACAAACTTTGATAATAATATTGTATGAATTGCATTACTCACTAGAAACATACAAATTTTCAAGATTATTTAGCCTTTAAAACAATTATTAACAATAGAGAGACATTTCTAACTTCCAGTACATATATTACTAGTATTTGTTATACAGTAAGAGTCAAACATACCTGGTCGCACAACTCGAATCATTTCATGAAGTGCGGTTGCCGGTATATGACCTTCTCTAAACCCCCCAGATACTGCTAGTCCGTCATATGTATCTGTTAATAATACAGAATGTATAAAATTGCTTTATTTGATGCGGGTTTTTCAATATCTCAAAGAACAATCACAAAGTAAATGCTATAAGTAAAAATGTTAATAAGTTAACATAAGTTAATTATAAAAAAATGAAATGTTGAAGAATTTCTACAGGTAGCAAGAACGACATTTAAGCATATTATTAAACGTATTTATCAATATCTGGAAAAAGGAAGCCTTAAAAACATCAAAATTTTATGAAAATTGCAGACTCGGTTTGATCGAGTATGTACATAAGGGATAATGAAAAAGTGCAACATCCCTCACGCGTCACTTAAAAGTGCTGGAATCAAAGCTTGCGAAGGTCCAGAAAATTATAACAACACAAGTTACAAAAATCTGAAAAGAGGAAAAATGTATTCAAATAAGTTGATTTGAAAAAAAGAAAAACAATTCATTAAAATATATCAAAATAAAGTCATTCATGTGCAAATGTATTTACCATCTTCAACAGGAACAGTATTATCTAGACCAATAAAATCATTGATAATGTTGGTATAAATATGTCTCTCCCTTGCCTTGTTTAACATCCCCTCAGAAGGGTCCAGGGCATCTAAATGTCGAAAACCAAGATTATACAGCTGAAATTATAACATGAATATTATCATCAATTCGCTCTGTGTTACAAAAAAGTTATAGAGTTTAGCTGCTTATTGAATGCTTTTAGTATGCAGAAACACGTTTTTATCTGTTAAAGAATTTTTTGAACTTAGTTAATGACAATGAAAAGAAAGAGAAAAAAAAACATGTTAAAATATTAGTGTGTTTGACCACATTTGTTACAAATCCCTATTGTAACACCCGTTGTACAAATGTTTGATATGAACAATAAGAAAAAAAATAGCAAGTTAATTAGTAAATTTGTTGTAATGTTTAAAATATAATAACAATTGACATTACGCTGCCTGTCAATCAAGCTGACAGGGGTCTTAAAGATAAGCCAATAGGCGATCGTTATCAGCGAAGTCCGACATTTTCCTTAGACAAGCTGTTTGTATAAGACAATGGTGCATCAGTATATTGGAATTATTTTGATTTTTGTTTGTCAATTTAAAGCTATAAAATCTGTAAATCTAAGTTACCAAATATCCTTACATATTGACATATGGAGTCGGTTAGTTCATTTTACAAAAAAAGAAGAAGAAATATCAGTAACTTTCTATAAGATAAGCTTTATAGAAAGATAAAACTGGCTATACCACAATGTATTAAAAAGGAAAAAGTTTAAACAAATACTCTATTCCTTCCTTCGTTACAATTATGTCTATTCAATTCATAATAACATAATATATTATAAGGCTCCAGAATATCCAGATGACATGGCATTTTTTCTTCGTTTATAACATAGTGTCAATAAAATGCTGCAGTAGGAAAAAATACTTACAAATAAAATGAGAGAATATTCAATGGATTTTTTACTTGAAATTATCCTACCTAAATATTTTTGTTAAAGGTCAATGAATTATGATTGGCGTCCGCGCCGAAGCGCGGCGCCCCCTTATGGAATGAAATCAGATTTTGTGAAAGGGCGACAGCAACTTCTCGAGCCTTTTAGTTGGTCATAATAAAAGCCGATCATTCCGATCGGTATGAGGGTGCTTGATTATTATTAATCAAAAATGAAATGTCGCGATATGTACAATGAATAGCGAACTGGAGGATTTAGCAATGCAAACATTTTCAAATGCAATAACCTTTTCCGTCTCTTCGGTTTTTTATTTATCATTTTGTAGTACACAGTGGGTTATCATGGTATGTTAAAATAGAATGATGAGTTGATGACCTAAATATTCCGAAAATCTATTTGTAGAGGGATGTACTCCTATCGGTAATTCCGGTCTCTCCCTGTCTATTTTGACCTGGATACTAGTGACCACACGTTTATTGTCCGGTCTCTCTCGGTTTTGGAGTAGATGTTTGATATCGTTACAGAAAAGAACAAATATTTTACAGATGAATAAGCTTTTTTCCAAAATGAATGTTTGTCACTTAGTTTGGTTACAATAATTAATAAACATAGATCAACTCTCAAATTTATTGATTATTATTATACATAAACATACAATTCGAAAAAAAACCCAACAACAACAACAACAATAGCATGTTTCATTTTATCTATATGAGATAAAAACAATAAATATGTACCATAATTGTGAAAAAAAAAGGTATATTTTTTATGGTTTTAATATGACACTATCAACTTTGAAACATTTTATTTAATTTGTTATTCGTGTTTAGTAAAGATGCCGAAGAATTATTCAAAGTTACAAATTAGATTTTATTAATTAGTTAATTGATTGATAATTTAAAAAATGACATGTACATGGTTTAAGAATAAACAATATTATATATTGAAAGATTAACCATAATTTACTGACTATTTCCAGTTAAGTTTTGACTTAGAATCGTCGGTTAATTTTACAATTGAATTCTTAAAATTTATTTTACAATTTTAATAAAAAACAGAGTAGTAAACGTAAAAAACTCTGTATTAAAATAGCACATAAAAACACAAAAAGAGAGGAAAACAATATTCATAAAATCTGTATACTGTTATTAAAATAGATGTTACCATTATTGTATAATAAACAATAATGCTCAACATGACATGGTGTAACCAGTGTCATATTTTTACTAACTGTGAACAGATACCTTAAGAGGGGGCCTTCGCTAATAGCGATTACATAATAAGGGACAATTCCACAAGTGTGGTGTTGATCATGCGTTACACATATAGATTATAAATGATTGTATGCATGCATATCCGTTGCTATTAATAATCACGATCATAAAGAAATAACAAGTAATATTCTAATCTCTAGCATGCCAATCATAATGAACAATGTATTCCGTCCGTTCATTCTGGTAAAAACCAATTAACCATTGAAAAGTTTATAAGAATATCTTGACATCATATGTCTACTAGTTCATCTTCACTTTCTGCATTTCTTGCTTGGACGCCCTTTGATGCTTTGCATCAATGCTTTTCTTGTTAATTATTTGAATACATCTGTTTCAATAACATCATATCTGATCAAGGTTTTAATTTAAAGCTGAGGTATGGTGTGTGCGAAACTTATTTTAAAACTTATTTCATTTTATCAGGAAACATATCTTATGTAATAATATACATATAATCATATATCATACTACAAAGTTACGCAACGGCAATTTTCTCATTCAATTCTACAATTTACGAGCATATGCACTTACTTTTATCACGATGCTTATCTAATGTAAAAATATACAAATATTCATATATCATACTACAAAGTTACGCAAGGGCAATGTCCTCATTCAATTTTAACAATTCATGCTCAAATGCGTTATATATAAGTTATTTCGCACATAAAACCAAAAAAAAAACAAAAAAACAATTGTCAATGTTTCTAATTTTACTATTTATATGTTCCGCTACTTCAATTTTAACAATTTTTGAATTTGTATTTTGTATTTAAGTCAATGAGAAAGATAACAAGATCTTTGCCAAACGTTTTATTTATCATTTATACATGAATGCAGTTATTCGTTACTTTTTAAAATAGATAATACATTGAACTTTTCTTATATACTTTTTTTATATCCCAAATAATAAAAAATAAATTCATTAGTCACTTTAGTGGCATAACAATTGGTATTGTCAATAAATCTAAAATGCAGTTAAACTATAATACCGATAGTTGTTTTAAAAATAAACAGACACTACACAGTTTTAATATGTTACCTCTGCTCCTAATCGACCTGTCCCTGCAGCTACGTCAAGTATCTTTGCTGTTGACCGTTCCTCGGCGGAAAATTGTTTAGATAGTGCTCGAGCCGCACTCGCCGGTCCAGTGTAACAGTTTGGATTTAAATGCTGTAAAAATAAAATAATAATATGTCTAGGCATAACTAACTTATCAAAATGTGCCCTAACAATGGCAGTTTGGATTTGTCTGGAATTCACGTATTTATTTTGTCTTATAATAAAATAAAAATACATAGAGGATATTTGTTTGTTTGTGTGTAAGATGAAATTTTATTTCATCGAGTGAGAATACTGTTTTTAAAGTTCACGAGATGAAACAAAATTACATCTTACACATCAAACATTATTGATTACTAGTATTTATTTTATTAAAAAAATTGAATGATTGCTTGTTTTAATGATAAAAAACAAACAATTCTTGTAGGAGAAAAAGTCCAACCATCCATCCATATTTCTGTTACTTACTGCGAATTTATATTAGACATTGCTTTGTTAAATGTAAGCGGCAGCCATTTTTTAAATATGTATATTTCTCGGGAGGAAAATAATTGTATTTGATTCAGAGGGATATCATTTGGATTTGTTTGTCATACACCTTTTTAAAAGAAAGAAAAAATATTTGAGGATTGTAACAGACAAAAAATAAGTGATGACAGATGTGAAAACATTAAAAAATGCAGCTAGGAAAATGGAGAACTTGGAATTTGCTCAAGAACGCTGGGTGGTTTACTTGTTCTTCGAGCTGATGGTTGTCATTGCTTTTCAATTTTTCATAAAACATACGGCAGTTATTGCTCGTAGGATACTTTAATATGCCAAATGTCATCAAGAGCAGTTTTGTATGTGAGAGGAATGTATTTTTCAGACTTAAAAAATTTAGACAAAATTTGGTGATTGGAAATTTGAATGAATAAAAGTAAGTTTTCTTCTTTTTATTACTTTTGACATTTAAGTTATTTATCAATTTCAGCTTTGCTTTTTCTTTAAACAGCCTGGCATTGTCAGAATTGTAAGCCATAATAAAATTGAGGTACCACATTGGAAAAATGTAAAAAAAGTAGTTTCGTCATTGAAAAGTGTGAAATTATTGCAGTCTATTTTGATAATTTTTAATGTGAAATTATCAAATATAATTTTCACAAATAATAATAAATCAGTAATTCACTGAAAAGCATAAAATAAATACATATTTTTTTCAAATTTTGCGTAAAG